TTGCGCTCTGTTTGGAATTTAGTTTCCCTCTTTAATTTTTAATACCATTTATTAAAAATTTGACTCACATTAAAGTCAATTTTTGGAAAAAAAAATATCACTATAAAATTATGCTAGTAAATTAAATAATAAAATTTTTTATGGCAAAAATATATAAAATATTAATTAAAATTATTAAAAAAATGTAAAATATAAATTAAAATTAATTACTTATAATAAATTTACTTTTTATAGATACCATACTGTCAAAAAATGTAAAACACTCACAAAGACGGAATTGTATAACAGAAAAATGAGAAAACAGGGGACAGGGGAGAGAGACTAGAAGCTATCAAATTAAATACCCAAAGGGAAAAAGATTTTTAATAATAAAACATATTGTAAAATTTTATTATGGTACAGGAGTTGTAGCTGTACGGAAATCAATTAACTACATTACTGCATTATTTATTTCTAATATATATGAAAAGCGTTTTGTATTTTTTTTAAAAATATTTTTTAAAATTAATTGTTGGATTGAAAGTTCTATTCGTCTAGATTATTTATACTAATTTTTAAAATGTTCTAGTAAGTTTAACTATTTCGTTGATTATAAGAAATTTAATACTATTAAATATATATCAGTAAATAAATTTTTTTTCAAAGGGTTGCAAGTCTTAAATTATTATAAAAATTGACATGCATGATTAACATGAATAAAACTTTAAATTTAACAATGAGTTTTTAAAAATATTAATTAGAAAGTAAATTTTTAGACAAAAATCATCTAAAAAAATTTTTAAAAGATGACCAGTTTTACACTATTCTCTAAAATACAGTATAATTTTTAAATTTTTTTTCTCTAACATATAATCTTTTAGTCTCAAAAGATTGAACCCGAAGTCTATGTGATCTATTAATGTAGGATATCCAATTTAAGAGGTTGTGGTTGAACTAGACTCACTGCATCCCTAAGTGTGTTGGTTAAAGTTGGACTACCTTTGGCAAAACAAAATAAAGCAGATTAAAGAAGATGCCACTGTTCAGTGCCGAACAGGTCCATAAGCTATGGGATACTTGGAATATCAGAGGACTGATTATTCTAAGCCTCTTTGTACAGTCTTTCCTAATTTTGCTTGCACCATTAAGAAAGCAAAGAGGTGGGAAATGGGTCATCATGACTCCACTCTGGATAGCATATCTGCTTGCAGATTGGGTGGCTACATTTACCATTGGACTCATGTTGCGTACTGATGAACGCATTGACATCTTGGTTTTTTGGGCACCCTTTCTTTTGTTGCATCTTGGTGGTCCCGACACTATTACTTCCTTCTCTCTGGAAGATAATGAATTATGGATTAGGCACTTGCTTGGGCTCATTTTACAAGTTGGTTCGACTATCTATGTCATATTTCAGTCACTCCCACATAACAAACTTTGGCTGCCATCCCTCCTAGTTTTAATTGCAGGGATAATCAAATATGCTGAGCGCAACTATGCCTTTTATCTTGCAAGCTTTCACCATTTTGGGAATAATTGGACATATCTAACAAGTAATGTCCCCTATGAACGTCTTTCAATGCCTCCCATTCCAGGACAATTTAAACAAGCTCATCAACCACGGCTTTTTAAGGTTTGGAGAAACTATGAACCGTGGTCGATAATTCTTGCAGCAGCATGCACGGTTGGCGCTATCAAGAGCTTAATTGTAGGTCCTCCCTTGACTAAACAAGAACAACAGTTTTTTTGTTATTTTATGCAAAACAGAGATTCACATGAGATGCTTCGAACCATAAAGATCCAATTAAGCCTCTTGTATGAGTTTCTTCACACCAAGTTGCCCATGGTTGATTCCAAGATTGGTTATATTTGCCGCGCGGTAAACTTTGGTTGCATCTTGGGAGCCTTGGTGTCATTCTCAATATTCCTTAAGAAGTACCACCATAATAAGTTGGGGGAGTTTGACATCTACTTGACATATGGGTTGTTGATTGGGGCAGTGGCATTGGATTTGATATCCATCTGGTTGCTCATGTCCTCTGATTGGATTGTTATTAGGCAATACTCTGACAAAAAGAATTATGATGAATTCATTGATAGGCAGAGGTGGTCTAACTCAGTTCCACAATTAAATATTTTTGCTTGTCATTTCAAGAACAAAGATGGAGAATTGGTTGATTTTCTTGGCACAAGGAGTTTGTTTGAAACTATAAGAAGAATCCAATGTGTGTCCCATGAAAATTTTGTAGAAGAACAAGTTTGGGAGCTCATATTTATAACGCTACAAGAAAAGGGTATTGGCATTGCTGGCACGGAAATCTTTGGTCCATCTAGAATTCTCACCGGTCATATTACCAACTTTGCTTGGACCTTCAGTAAGTTTGAATACATGGAAAGCCTCCTGATATGGCACATAGCCAGTGAAATATGCTACCAAAAAGGATGTGCAGATAACAGCCCCAGCAGTTCTACCTCTACATCTAATGATCGTTTTGACCACCGAAAAATATGCAAGTTGATTTCAGATTATATGTTTTGCCTTTTGGTGATGGAGCCTACTCTGACAGCCACCTCGCCTAACCATTTGAAGATAATTTTTGAGGTCACAGACTTTGATGGAAAATGGAAGTGGCCAAGTTATTGGGAGAAGGGATCCAAAGAAACATTCATTAAAGATCTGGAAAAGCTATTGGAAGAAGATGATGAAAATGCTTATATAGATGTCGATATGTTGAAGGAAGATGTGGACAAGTTACCTCCCGATGAAAAAGCGCATCGAAAGCTGCGTATAGCTAGATTTTCAAGAATAGCTATTGCACGTTTTCTTGCCAAGGAGCTCCTCAATCAGCCCGATGGTTGTCCATGGGAATTAATGAGCAGATTTTGGATAGAAATAGTATGTCATGCTGCTATTAATTGCCAACCCATTGTCCATGCACGACAAGTAAGCAAAGGTGGACAACTTCTTACTTTGGTTTGGTTGTTGATCAATTACTTGGGATTAACTCCTCCTTCAATGAATCCGGAGGAGTTT